TATCGCCACCTACTGTACTGGAGGTCAAGTAAACTTTCATAGGTGATGAGTCTGAAATTTGAGTACCAAAAAAAATAAAAAAACATTCAAAACACCCAAAAACCATGGTGGATGTTTCCTATTCTCTCCAATCTATGGCGCACTCAGATCACATGCTCATGCTAGCGCTGCGTGTTCAGCTCCTCTAACACTCACAATTAGCTCTTCATGCCCCAGATTAGGTAGAATACTCCCATCCACACATATTATAATCTAGATCCTAAACCTGAGTCATAGATATATTTAATTAGTGCTCTGTATACCTGTCTATCCATTAAACCTTTTCCTAAAATATCTTCATGTGTCAAACTTTCCTCCCCAAAGTGACTAAATAATATGTCACAATATACACTATATTTACTACACCTAAAAATACATGATATACATTTTCAGATACACCACATACATCGCATAACCCATTTTCATGTAAACCCATAAGTGCCAGTGTTGATTTCAACCCTGTATGTCCCAGTCTTAATCTAGACAGCCACACCTCTTCTTTCCTATTTCTTCCCTGACAATTTATCCTCCCTACTGTCTGCGTAATATTATAACACCATCTCCCTGTGCTGCTATTATCCCATCTATTTGGCCATTTATTCATTAACTTTTTCTTTAAAATCGACTTTAACATCCACCTCCATCTTGTCCAGTGTTTGCTAGTTGCTAGTTTATCAGCAACTTCATTACCAGATACCCCAACATGTGCTGGCACCCAACAAACATTATTCCATATTCCAGCCTCTTTCAATCTGTATAAAGATAGATACACTTCCATTAATAAATCTTCTCTGTCTGATCTCGCATGTGCTATACTAATTAAAGCTGAAGACGAATCTGAACATATTACCACTTTATTTGGTCTGTGTTCAACCCACTGTAGTCCTATTATTATAGCTGTTAACTCTGCAGTGTCGTGTCCGATGTTGCTACTTGCTAGCAGTTTTATAATGTTGGAAATTATTTCGGTACACACGCTACAAAACAAATGTTCATCCAAACAGCAGGAGGCACTGTCTGAAAAAAACGACAGCATGCAGGTCTCAGTGTGCAGTAGGGCTGCCGGGCCTGCAGCTTCATAATGTTGAAAAATCGATGCGTTTCAGAAAGGCGGGGCATAAAGGAGAAACAATAATGTACAGTATGTGGAAAATAATGTGTTTTTTTAACCTTAAACCACATAAACACATTTCATTACACCAAATACACAAAATAATGTTATTTTTAGCAGCATCATATGACCCCTTTAAAGTATGAGAAATAGGACCTTTAAAGTCCTTTCAAATGTTTAAAAGTAATTTCGAAAAGGAAGATACACAAGAGATTTGCTTTACAAAGCAAATCCTGCTGTCAAAATAGTAAATTTAACGGTTCTTTTAGTATGATATATAACTTGTATGTTATTGTAAAACTTATACATGTTTTTAAAATAATTTTTCATCATATATTTAGTAATGATTAAACCCCTTTTATTTCCACAATCGAGCTTTGGCTGACAGAACTCTACAACGGGTGACGTAGTAGAACCGCAAATGATTATGGTTTCACCTAGGTCCTTTAGCGAACTATAAACTGACCTATTTCGTTTATTATTATCATATGGTGGCGGTAAATGCACCAGAAGTTGGTTTGCCATCCGCCATAAAACGTTATTAGAAGAAGAAGATTCTTATCATAGAAATTGGGGAGATGCCTCTAAGCATTAGAAGACTTAAACTTATGCTTGCATATTGGGTTAACATACAAGGGCATAGTGAGTTACACCCTACAAAGGCAATAGTACAAGAGTGTTGGGAACATAATAAATCAAATTTTAGGAGTTTTGGATGGATAGGAAGTGCAAAAGCAAGGAAGGCATGTTTACATACTATACAATACTGTCCAACAGTTCCATACTCTGACGTTCCCCCTTGGAAGTTTGTAATGCCAGTAATTTACTTGCAATTACAGGAAGAAATAAAAAGAAAATCGAAACTTATGTCTGTCTGGTGTATAGTTGTATAGTAGATGAGGTGGGCTTGAAGACAGCTAGGGCCAACCATCGGAGGGAGGAAACAGTCATTACTCGTCTCAGAATAGGACATACAGGGCTCAATAAGACTCTGCATTTAATAGGTAAACACACAAATGGTTTATGTACACAACCTGAATCAGTAAAACATATAACAATAGAATGTCATGCATATGAAAATAAGAGAATAATATTAAAAGTAGTATTTGAAACAATATAAACTTAAATTCACTTTGGAAAATATACTTGGAACAGCACTAAGGAAAACATATGTACAGTTAATTTAATATCTGAAAGAGACAGGTATCCTAGAATGAATATGAAGATCATAGAATAGTAGGACAAACCCGCCTTTTTTTTTAATTAATCCTGTTATATTTCTCAGCCAGACGTTTGTTCCACACTCCAGTCCAGCAGGTGGCGGTAAAGCACCTATTAGCTGGTTTGCTAACTGCCAAAAAACGCTTAAGAAGAAGAAGAAGATTCTTATCATATCTTCAATTGTTGAAAGTTGCAAAAGATAGATCGATATGTCTGGAAGAGGAAAAGGCGGTAAAGGTCTCGGTAAAGGAGGCGCTAAGCGCCACCGAAAGGTCCTCCGGGATAACATCCAGGGCATCACTAAACCCGCTATTCGTCGTCTCGCTCAAGCGTATCTCTGGTCTGATCTATGAGGAGACGCGCGGCGTGCTGAAGGTGTTTCTGGAGAGCGTGATTCGAGATGCTGTGCCCTACACTGAGCGCTAAAAGAAAGACCGCCAGCGCCATGGATGTGGTGTATGCTCTGAAGCGACAGGGACGCACTCTGTACGGATTCGGAGGCTAAGCGGTTCCTGGAGAAAACACAACCCCAGCGGCTCTTTTAAGAGACACACACGATTTCACACAAATAACACATTTCCAATTTGTATAATAGTATGTTTATTGCAGTGTTATTCGAATTGTTATCAGAAGGGTTTTATATATATATATATATATATATATATATATATATATTCTTACTATTAATAAATTAACGTTTGTGTTTGTTTTCGGTTGTCTTCATTAAGTTATAGTGATGGTATTTGCATTGAGGAATAAGTTAATATGTTAGATTTGTATAATTCTAAATAAAATTGTATATTTTACGTGATATAAGATTATCCAAAACAAAGTTTTAGCAATGTTTAATTTACTTCTATGTTCCGAAAAATGCGGGGAAATCAAACAAAGGACCCGGATGGTAGATGTACAGCATGAGGTGATGGGCGGGATTAACTTTTCAAAGCCTCTGATTGGCTTTAATGTGGCCAATGAAATCACTCTGTGGGTTGGTCAATGGAGACACGCAATCACAGACCGCCGTGTTCCCCTTTCTAAATTAGCATAGAGCTGTGCATAAAAGATCCTGTGTTGCGAAATTCATTCAGTTGGATCAGTCTCCTCCTGGGTCGGAGGCGGTTTGGCAACAGCTGATCTGTGACTGGAGAGATGAGAGGAAAAGATACGGAAATAGGAAGAAAGATGTCATCTTATCAAGACTAAGAATCGGACATACAGCATTAAACTATAGTCTTTATAAAATAGGTAAGCATGAATCGGGAAAGTGTGACAAATGTGGAGAATTAGAAACAGTGAAACATATTATTGTTGAGTGTTCTGCATATGAAAGGGAGAGATTTCAATTAATTCAAGAATTAGGATGGCTGGGAGTTGATAATATTTCTTTAAAAGTATTGTTAGGAAATGGGTCGAGGCAATCAAGAGTGCAAGAATATATGTTTAAATACCTGAAAAACGCAGGAACAATAGATAGAATATAGGTTTATTTATTATTATTTTGTTAAATTTATTTAAAAAATTTAAAACAATTCTCTCCTCTTCTGTATTTCTTTCTTCCAAATTTATTCACACTCCACACTCCAGATCAGTAGGTGGCGGTAATGCACCTCTTCCGCTGGTTTGCCAAACCGCCATTAAACACCAGAAGAAGAAGAATTCATTCAGTTGAGTGTTTCAGAAGAAAGCATCATGCCTGAACCAGCAAAGTCCGCTCCCAAGAAGGGCTCAAAGAAGGCCGTCACTAAGACCGCGGGTAAAGCAGGAAAGAAGCGCAGGAGGTCCAGAAAGGAGAGCTACGCTATCTACGTCTACAAGGTGCTGAAGCAGGTTCATCCTGACACCGGGATCTCCTCCAAGGCGATGGGCATCATGAACGCTTTCGTCAACGACATCTTCGAGCGCATCGCCGGTGAGGCGTCTCGTCTCGCTCACTACAACAAGCGCTCCACCATCACTTCCCGAGAGATCCAGACCGCCGTGCGTCTGCTGCTGCCCGGGGAGCTGGCCAAGCACGCCGTGTCTGAGGGCACCAAGGCCGTCACCAAGTACACCAGCTCCAAGTAGAGCTTCAGCTGATCCACGAACCCAAAGGCTCTTCTAAGAGCCACCCACATTATCTTTAAAAGAGCTAAGCTTTTTTTTTGTTTATTTACTTTATAGAGTTCAGCAAACAGTCTGGAGATAGTGAATAATTTTATATATACCGTAAACAATGTTGTCGTTTTATATGTAAATGTTGTCAGTGGTCATCATAAACATGGTGTTTCTCATATTCAACACAATTTCAATATATCCGATATAATGCTTGAGTAGAATCGTCTCTGCTTTTATCACTGAAAAGAAAAGATTTCTCATGCACAAGCCTGTAAACCACTGTAACGTGTTTTACATGTAATTGAGATGGCCTGTGGGATGAAACCGTTCTTGTGTCTTCTCATTCTGGTGCCTAACGGAGGGGAGATGGTTAAAAAAGACAATGTTTGATGATCCTTCCTGCCTGTTTCCTCATTCTAGACTGAAGGTAAACAAGTGTCTTATGGAGGGCAGGGGTGGCCCAGTGATAGTCTCAACCATCCTGGGGTGCGTTTCCCAAAAGCATCGTTAGCTGACTATGGTAGTTAGTTCCTTTGAAATCTATTGGTAACGATGGAACTTGCGACCATAGTTGCTTTTGGGAAATGTAACCTATTTTTGTCGAGTTTGGTAGCTGAACCATACCAGACCGTTACTGAGGTGCAGGACCGATTCAATGACAGCTGACTTCCAAGTACCTATGGCAAGTTAAACTTCCTCAGTTAGAAGTACATGAAGTACAACCTATGCTAGGAATTTTTTTTAGAAAGGTGTAAGAAAAGTTTATTCCATGGTGGGCAGCACTATATGTAGCATGCTTGGACAACTTTACAGGGATCCAACATGAGTCCTAACCAAGAACTGAGACAGAATTTGAAGTCACATCTACTCACATTAGCGTTCGGTCTAATAGCCTAACTAAAGAAGGGGCTTTCTTGTTTATTTTATGTATTTGAACTTGTCTGTTGTTGATTGTATGTGCCATGCTATGGTCTTATTATTGACCATTTTATTTAATGTATAAATGTACAGCACATTTGTTGACGTCCAGATGTTTTTATCTCTCGGTGCCATTAGAATACACTCAGTCCCTTTAGTTTAGTTAAAAAATAAAAAAAAATAAAAACATTAACATAGTGTCCGTGATGTCACCCGTTGGTTTCTGAAGAGCATTTTTGAAGCCTAAAGTGGGCGGAGTCGGCCGTCGCCATCTTGGCAGCGCGTCACCATCAAGTGGCAACCTCTCGCTCTCCCTCGTGAAGCCAACAAGGAAGTGACTTAAACTGTAATTCATCAACTGGCCGCTAGAGGCTGGCTGCAAAAGGGAGTCAATCCGATAGACTCCCCATTTTAAAATGCCCAACTTTACAGCAGAAAAAAACATGTTTACAGCCTGGTTCAAAAAATGATTTTGGTCTATATAGCAAATTTTCATGACAACTTTGAGGGGGGTGAATTTTTTTTTATAACTCATCCGTTTAAATTATATTAAGCCTTAAAGTTCTGCATAATTAAGGGCGTGGCCACTTGAGTGGCAGGTGGTTTGCTGCTACTGGGCATTAAGTTGGGCATTAACATGGGGAGTCTATGGGATTGACTCCCATTTGGAGCCAGTCAATGAATTGCAGTTTAAGTCACTTCCGTTTCAAGAGAGAGACCGGAAGGTTGCCGCTTGGTTGACACGGGGGGGCAATGCCTTTACCGATTAGCGTTTGGCTCTTTTATTCAGATAGCGGGGCTTCCTTCGATAGAGCGGACATATTGAGCATTGCATTTTTTTCTATTCAAAACTATGAGTGACACGTCTTGGGTATTCTATAGTCTTATTCTATAGTCTTATTCTATTCTATAGTTCTATAGTATTATAAAGCCCCGTTCAGACTACACAATTTTTTTTTGTCGGTTACGACATTCACTGTGTCAGATTATGCGATTTTGATTCATAAAATCTTGTTGAGTCATGAACAAGAAACATGTCAGACTATACGATGCTACCCGACCATTCATCGCATGCCGTCATTAACAACGTGCGTGCTGTTGTCATCGATAGCGCGAGACAAGACAAGGTGCTATGAGCGCAAACAAACAATGGCTAGAAACAGCATGTTTTGCTCTGTCTTGTCATCAGAAAAGCCCAATAAAGAAAGAAAACCTGACAATGGACACAAATCTGGATGGCATGAAGAAGATGGTATGGACTGTCAAAGAGAACTGAGGTAAAATAGTTTTTATTTTAACTTTTTTCACTGTGTCACGGTAGTCCCTCATCATAAATGCAGGAGTATGTTGCCGTAGCTCCACGAACATTTTCCTCCATTGTAAAATTACACCTAGCAAGACCGATACCGTTGTCTCCCTTTCATTTTGGCATGTTCGGCAAGCTTGTACAAAGGCACTTCTGTGCTCATATTGGTCATATTGGCAAAACTGGGCTAAAATAGTGTAGTCTGAACAGGGCTTAAGTTTTTATTTTTTTTTAGAAATATTACATTTAAAAATAAATTTTTCACATCCCAGTGTTATTTTATGATATTCACATATGCATAAAACTTAAGTGAATATTAAAAAAAGCAAACACGGAATTTAATTTAACCAATAAAAGTTTAAAACAATGTTTAAATAACACAAGGCAACCAATTGCATTCAGTGAAACTCTTTATTGTATTCCTTGAATGGGCAGTCTTCATTTAAACTCATTCAACCTCCTACAGGGAGAGAAAGATTGCAGAAAGACTAAAAACTTGACAACTAGCATCTGGTTATGGTCGCTATTAAGGTGTTTCTCTCGTTATCTAACTGTCATTATAGTATAACTGTCTGTTATCTAACGATAAACATTAAGTATAACACGCTTCATAAAATACCACTACTGGCCAGATTTTCGAGAGGTCAACTAATGCATTAAAATGTCAAAAAATGCAGTAATTTCTTCAATTTGCCAGCGAGTGTGCTTGAGAAACACTGTAATGAATGAGGTTTAATGTTTGAACTATTGGTTGTTTAGAACTATTGGCCGCTTCGTGACACGCTTTACTTCCACATTCCTCAAATTCTGTGGAAGCCTGTGGGAGTGTCACAACTCTGTTTCTCAAGGGCCCTGGTATTACTCAGCGCCATTGAGAAACAGAGTTGCGACACTCCCATAGGCTTCCATAGGAACCGAGGAATGCGGAAGTAAAGCGTGTCATGGAACAGCCAATATTTCCAACATTAAACCCCATTCATTACAGTGTTTCTCAAGCACACTCGCCAGAATGTTGAAGAAATTAGGCTACATCAATTTTTGACATTTAAACACATCAGTTGACCTCTCGGAAATCTGGCCAGTAGCGACAATAACCAGATGCTAGTTGTCATATTTTAAAGTTTAGTCTTTCTGCAATCTTTCTCTCCTAATCTTATTAGGCCTCATTTACGAAACGAACGTACGACAGACAATCGGGCATACGGTCGTTTCAATGCAAAACTTGGAATTTATCAATATGGACGTGAGCGGTGGCTACGATCAAATCTCACGTCTGGTCTCAGCTTGTGTACGCAAGTTTTTGAGTTACCTAAACTTGTGCACAGCATAGTAAATATGGTGGAGAATTGTAAAATGACAGCATTTTGTTCATTTTTATTTTCCTGACCGTCAAACGAAGCCCATTAGTCGATCGTTACCCAGTAACATTATAATGTCTTATATATATATATATATATATATATATATACAGGGCTTTAGCTTTATATGTGCGAATAGCAGCTTAAACAAGACCATGAGGATTCAATCGTCGCATCATGCACATGCAGCACTTCTGTGAAAGGAGAAAAACAGAAATTAAGTCTATAAAAGGAATAAAATCAATAGGAT